GTCTGCATCGTTTATGTATACATATACATAAGAGCAATGAAGAATGGTACCTGATACATTAATTTTTTTTATTGGATTATATCAGAGTTTTTTACATGTGTGGTTGACATGTATCATGAAACCAAATATCATATAATTTCAGAGTGCCAAAATCTTGCCCAATTTGCCGGGATTCCATTGAGCAGTTACCGACGCATATGCAACTCGAGCATCAGCTCTATGGCTCGAAATATGACAAAGTGATGAAGCTTGAAAGTCGACGTCATTTAAAGTCTGACGAGTCGTCACATGACATAGATAATCTGAAGACCTATTTTCCAAACGATTACTTAAGGGTGGCTTTCTACCTTGTTTGTCTACGACAGCCTGTATTTGAGAGGGTGCATTGTAAAGCGTACCATCCGGTACGTCACCTTAGTATTAGCGACATTAAGCAGGCAATAGACAAAGAGGAGGCATTGAGAAAGAAGGCCAGATATGATGTGAATATGAATAGAGACTGTCTTCCAGCAGCGACTGCAGGAGAGCAAGAATCACGAGGGCAGGGTGAAAATCGCAGAGATAAGGCGACAATGACATTGCCATTTAGTAGCTGCTCTTCTGAGCCATCTGTTCCGAGAACAAGCAGACCAGGCAGTAGCGATTCTGCGACTAAGAGTAACAGGGACAACGAGTGTAGAACGGTGTCAAGTGGTGTGTCCGTCGAAATGACTAATCCCCAAAAAATGAAGACTATCGTAGACAAGTGTGTGATTACAGCAGATGGTGATCTTCCTAGGGCGGCAGACTTCAGGAAGGCAATGAGATCAGATCGAGCCCTGACTATCCAAACTAACAGTAAGCAGATTAAGTCAATGGCCGGTTTTGCCAGCGAGAAGAGACATAAATTGCGAGCCGAAGTCATTTTACAAGAGTTAAGGTGTTCCCTATATCAACCTGGCCTCGACAGAAGGATTGAAGAACGACTGAAGCAGCGAAATTGGTTTACTAAAAAATGCTATCAGACTGTCCTCTCAAAATGCAGAAAAGCCATTGCTAATAAATAAGTTGACATCACAAGCACCTAGATTGATCGGCTTTACTGATTGGCAAAAAATGCCAGCAATCATATATTCCACAGCAGCACATGTACTTTTTTCACATTTAAAAGTGATTTACATAATAATAATACAATGTTATAAAGTTGAAATAACAAATAAACATATATACAATTTTGCATAAATATGAAACATTGGTGGAAATAACATGCATAACATATTGGTTAAGTACAGATAAATGCAGCATGAAAATATAAAGTGAAAATAGCATAAACTTCAAAATCTGAATTTTATACTTAAACTAAAAATAATTATCGAATAGAATAGATTTTGATTTTATGATTTTTTAATTTTTCATTATACAATATTTTTTTTTTGGTATACTTTAGGATTTTAAAAGTTTATGTTGCCAGAAACGTTTTTCCTTTCGAAACATAATTGTGACAATTTGTACGTACATTTAACATCATACTGTTAAAGAATAATCATTGTCTCTACGAGATTTCTATGCATCGTGCATTTTTAATGTAATAGTAAACATATGCGATTGCTATTCTTAAAAAATGTTTATGAACATTTCCTTACATCCTTTACCAAGAAAAAAAAGGAAATAGTTTTGAAAATTTATTTTTTATTATGTAAATAAAAGTATCAACCACATAAATCACCAAAGACGTTATTTTGTTGTTGTTGTTGTTTTTTCGTATTATCATCATTTATTATATAATTTTTTAATTTACCCAAATGATAACTTTTTTGAAATTTAATAAGACTCAAAAAAGGGAAAAATTCCAAAAGAAAATGGTAAAAAAACAAACCATCCCCTTTACTATTTTTTTAAAAAGGGGAAAATTATAAAGGGGCGGCAAATTCAAAGTCATTTTGGGGCCAAAGATCAAGGTAGTTTGGTGCTAAAGGGCAAGGTCATTTTCTTTTCCAAAGAGTTCGGGGTTTAATATCGCAAAGTATAATTTATCCCCTTATGTAAGATACGTCTTTGGTGTCTCAGACAGGATTTGGTTTGACAACAGGCTTTACAAAATGCTGACAAAAGTGTTTATAACGGGTTTTTTCACAACAGACCTTTTATGATTGGAGGGATATGACTCCGTATGTGATAAAAAAAAAAAATGATTTTTTTAAATTTTTCCCTCCCCCCTAACAAAATTTACAGCCTAAGATAGGTCTTTTTATACAGTATGAATACGTTATGTGCGTTGTTGGGAAAAATATTATTAATCAAAAAGCTTTTTTTCCGGAATTAAATTAATTAAACCCAAACAAAAAAATAGAAACAATTTTTTAAATAAAATAAGAAAAAAACAACGTTTTATGAATTTTTAAAACAACAAAAAATTAAATTGCTGTAAAGAAAAATATTACATAATACATGTAGCAATCACTTCAATATGTTCCATATGATAGAGGTCTAGACCAATAACTTGTGTGCAAAATTTCAGATCATTCGCTCACTCCGTGTTTGCAGAATGAATATTCTTATTGTGAAAAAGTACCAAAATTAAAAAGCGTTACGCCGCTATTCACTCAAATCGGGTTCAGGAAAGCACAAAAACATTCTAATTTCAGATCGGCGTATATATTTCTCACTTATCTTTTACACATCTTTCTATTTAAAGTACTCCTCCGCGACCCAGTTTCACGACACTTTTGGGGCTCAGGGGAAAAAATACATGGGAATGAAAGGAGGGGGGGGCCCCGGGAACATTTTTATCTTTTTTTTTTTATAAATGTTGAAATATGATTTTTTTTTAAAAAGGCTTTTTTAATTTTTTTGATATATATGATAGTACATGTGCGGGGTTGACAAAATGCATTTTATTTTGGATTTTTTAAAAAGTTTTTTTAGCTCCAAAACCCCCAAATTCTGTGTCCATGGATTTTCCCTTTTAAAAAATAGTAAGGAAGTTTTAAACGACTCGGGTTATATTTCCAATCTGCCGTTCATATAGTACCAGTCAATAAGCGTAACAGTAATATAAACTTCAATTTTATCCAATGAAAAACGACGTTACAAACATGCAGCTTGTCATTTTTGTTTTTGTCTGCTACCGGGATCTTTTTTTAACGTTTTATTTTTTTTGTAAATAAAGAACCCCCATAAACATCAATGTCGTTTTAAATCAAAAAGAACAAACTCTTTTTTTCTATACACCTTTTTTTATAAAATAGAAAAAATTTGAATATTTTCCTCAAATATAATATCTCAAAAAAACATTGCTCATTTTCATTGTCAAAACAGAATCCAAATGTCTCTTTCAATATCAGTGCAAATTGTTAAAAAGGTTTTTGGGCCTTTGCAGAGGAAATTTGAAAAAAAAATGTCGACTTATTTTAAATGATTTCACAGGGTTGCACATTTTTTACCAAGGGGTTTCTTTTTTTTTGATTGTAATATCACAAACCAGAAGAATATAATCAAGAAAATATATACAGTTATATTAACTGCTAAAAGATACTTTATTTAACGTCTTTACAAACCCCCCCCCCCCGCCCCCCCTTTCAATTAGTTCTACATCTCCTTCAAAATTAAAAAACGTATGATTTTTTAAATAAAGGTAAAAAAAGATATTTATGATTTGATTTTTATTTTTAAAAGAAATAAAAAGAAATCTATCTTAATCTTTAAAAACAATAATTCATCATCCCACCTGCAAAAGCCCCAATCGGGCTATTTTTTGTAAACACCCCGAAAAAAATATGTTTTATTATGGAAAAGTTTTAATACCATAAAAATCCTTTTTTTAAAAAAAAACATTTTTATCTTTACAAGGAAAAATCAGTCCGATTTTGGAAACATTTTGCAGGTGCGCGATGACGTAGTATCCTATACATTTGAAATTCAAACTTTCACAATCAAATTTATGTAACTTTAAAAAAAAGATTTTCCAAACTTTTTGATTGTTACGTGTTTTTCTCAGTTCCCCCAATCTGTTACTCAATTGTTTTATCAGAAAAACCCTGAAAAAGAAAATACAAATCGGAGTTTTTTAAATGGTAAAATGATTGGGCAATTTACTGACAGAAAAAATTATGGTGGGTATTTATTTTTTTTAAATAAAATTTTTCATCGGTGATATGAAAATAATTATTTCATTCCAGTGGCGGTAGTAAATTTTCAAACCACAAGATGAAAATAAATCATGTATTTTAGAGAAAAAAACTTGAATTTCTCTGTTTATTATGTACCCATTTTTCTTTTTAAAGGACTTTCCCTTAAATTTTGTGTACTGGCAGAATTTAGAAGAAAGTAGCCCGGCCAGACACAAATGAATATATGGAAAATATGTTTTACTGAAGTGAAACATTTTTTTTACAAATGAAACATTTAGTTTCGTTTAAGGAGATACGTATTAGTTTCGTTATCAGGAGATACGTAAAAACATTGAGAGCGCTACTGAACAGATAGGGCGACAAAGCTACCTGACACCCCATCAGGGCTTTGCTCTGAACCCGCTTATGCGTACTAGTATATCTCTTAAAATTTTCTACAAGTTTGCTAGTATTATTTATGGTAACTCATTTGTGCCATATCGTATTTTCGCTCCGTGAGGGCGTCAGACGATAACACGAAAATACAGTAAAATAATGTAACTTCGTGTTTTGGCCTGGCGCTCTGCGACGTGGTGGCTTCTTTGTTGTTTTTTTCCCCTTTTTAGCGTGGCATCACGCAGAGCAAAATTATGACACGGCACAAATCAGCCACTGTAATTGCAGGACTTAAATCAGTTACACCGACACAGCAAAGGTGACGTGAAACACTGAAAAGTTGACGTGCCGACTTTCGAGCTTAAGTCATTGATACTCGACAGAGCCTCGTTACCGCCGTAAACAGTAACCCAAGAGCTAAATAGTACGATCTGTACCGGCAGCCGTTGAAATATCCTTATAGTAATTCATCAAAGTTTTAAAATAACACCAGGACAATAGTTTGAAAACAATAATTGTTTATTCACAACAACAACAACAACAACAACAACAGAAAAAATAACATCCGAAAACTTTTAAATACAATATCAGAATGGTTCCAATCTGTACGCCAATATATACACGAGACAAATTTTTATTAACATATTTTATTGTTTTATTGAAGGTACACTATGTCTAAGAAATATATTTTCATATTCTTGAGAAAAGTCATATATGTGTTTAATAATATTTTGATAATGACTTTAGAGGATCTTGGATGCTTGAAAAGCTGCGAAAGTATGCGGTTATGTGTAGCAAAATGCTAAAAAAGTAGTATTTTGATTCCCATACGCAGTATTAATACCAGTTGTCAAAGAGGAAAAGAAGCGAAAAATAGTTCATCTATAATTTCCAACGAGTAATTTTTTGGAAATTGTAATAACTTATGTAATGCCCAATTAGTAAATTGTTGGATAATATAATAAGAAATAAAAAATAAAAAGGTTTTGAAAAATAAAAATGATATACATTTCGGGTCTTGATGGGCCTTTAAATAAACGATTTAAAGAAATCAGTTAAGTAAAAAAATAAAAACGTTTTAAAGGAACTCCACTGGTGTCCAAAAATTTTAATTTCTTACATAGATCAGTTGGGGTACTTAAAATTAACAATGGCAAAGCAACAGACAATTAAGAAATATACAAATAATTTAAGAAAAACGAATTTTGTGCTAATCTTTGTACGATTTATGTGAAAAGCGTTGCTAAGCTTTCAAATGTATGTATTTTTCACATTTAGAATTATTCTGTAAAATCGGAAAGAATTTTTGCACACAATCTACATCAAATGGAATATTTATCTCGAAAATTATTTCCAGTGACGTCAAAAAGCCTCAGTGGAGTCCCTATAAATAAATATAAAATACATTAGAATACATAACCATTTTGTGAAATTAACCTGCCACAAAAATTCCCAATATTTTCGAGATGAAACTCATTTTTACTACAATTAATCCCTTTTTATTGACCACTTGTCATTAAGGGCCATATTTTGAAATACTATTGTCGGTCGTTTTATCAAGGTTCGGCAGTAATTTGATGATAATAAGACGGTTTACAGAAGTCATATCAAACGTGAACATGATGAAAACAAAATCTGTCAAGAATATAATGACAGCATTGTAAATTTACAATAAAGATGCCACGTATAAATTAGTGTGTAATAAATTTGTGTGTTTTATCTCTTAAATAAACTAAGATACGTCATGAAATAAATAATTTTAAGCGACTTTAAAGCAGCACGCTTACAGATTCTTGAAATAATCATAAACATTAAAGAATTGTTTAAATTAAAGAAAATATATCAGTTGAACCAAGTTGAACAAATAAAAAATAAAAGTATTTCTACATTTCCCGCCAAAATTATATTACAAAACTTCCCACTAAAATGTATAACAACATTTCCCGTCGAAATTGTATGACAACAATTCCCGCCAAAATTTATAAAACTCATACAGTGACCGTAATGATGGCATTGAAAAATATATCTACCTCCCTTCGCCGTATAAAAACACGTTTTTCCAAAGCAGTACAGCAACAAAATGGATTTATGGATTGAAGCGCTGTGCAAATTTTGCAAAAATCATTTGACTAGATTCTTCAATTAACTATTTTTATAATACTGCACGTTTGTAAAGTCGCTTTTCAATGGATAAACTTGACGTTTAGACTCGTATATGTTTATACACGGCTACTGTGAAATTATAATATGTTTTCCTCTAAGAAAGAATGTTTGCTACTACTATATTATTAATTAATGATAAAGATTCCTGACTGGTTATATGCCGTATACAAACTGTTGTTTGCAATATAACCCTCGCCCAGCGGCTCTGGTTATATTTACACACAACCGTTTATATCCGAACATATAACCTGTCAGAACTATTTTTAACTAATAATACATGTATAACAAAATAGTAAAACAATTGATTACTGAAATTAGTCAACATACTATCAATTCACAATAATTTGGACAATTATAAGAACAAATGTAATATATACATGTATACTACAGGAAATAGACTGAGCACCACTATTAATTTGTAAATACACTGTCCTACTTCCTCTCTTCAGCACGGGTGATATGGCACGTGCGTAAATATCTGAGACCCCAACTGGAACTTTAAATTCATTTTGAGAATACTTCCATCGACTATTGTTGCCAAGCGCTACCATAACTTTATGCCCCTGATAAAATGTATTAACTTTTGCTATCCTGTCTTTCTCTGAAAATATCACACCAGGTGGCGTAATCCGGTATGTAATACCAGCTTCCTCTAAACGGGGTAGTTCTTTCTTTCCTACAACTTTCACAAATCTCTGAAAATCTTCCTTTTTAGACTTTTCTCTTTCGGGTACAGAGACAATCTCTTCCCATTTAGCCATATGCCATGCTCTTTCAGCAAAAGCAAGAAGTCGAGGAAAGGTCATGTCGTAAAGTTGGCTCTCGTTCCGTACCGTTTCCGACCAGATGCACGCTTCCATGCCGGCATAATTTTCCGGAGCTTTCGTATGCGGGCATGGCCCTTTACACAATTCATTCAAGTCAATTCTTTTTCCAGATAGATCAAACTCTGCATTGGCAAAAATATTCATGGGTATAAATCCGAACACCTTGTACGTATCGGTATATCTAGTGGCCCAGTATAAACCCCGTTCTTCGGGATCCGGTTCATACGGGTGGTCAAAATATAAATGAGTAGCCATGGAAAGAATAACTTTGTGGCCCTGATCAGCAAATTCGATAGCTCTCCCTCCGGTCCCTTGCTCCCAAATGTTGTTCCATGTGTTCACGTAGACCTCGCTTTGTTTAAACTCTTTAGCACCGTACGGTCCCTCTTTGGAGGAATAAATTCCGTCCTCCCAGACGGATATTTTCATTCCGTGTTTATGGGCTATATCAGCGATCGTTAGCAGAAACATTTTCTTTATCGTGTTATGAACTAGGCTCGAACCGTGAAACATTGACTTGCAAGTCCGTGAATGTTCCCATATGCCCTTCGGAACCTCATCACCGCCGACATGCACGACATCAAGCGTCTGAACACCTTTGTATATATCTTTCAAGTCTGTTAATACTGTTTCAAAAAATCTGTATGTAGAATTCATACAGGGGTTGAGGGAATCACCAACCCACCCTTGCACAGACTTAATACCTGAAACATCATCTGATAGCAGATACGATGGTCCATTTCCGGAGTTTTTAAACAGATGTGAATTCTTATCTCTTAGTTCTGTTGCTTTAATGGCGGCGAAGGCATGTCCGGGTACATCTATTTCCGGTATAACTTGAACATATCTTTCCTTTGCGTATGTAAGAATTTCCCGGAAGTCTTGCACAGTGTAGTAACCGGATCCGGATGAGTCCGGATATGGTCCGGATCCAAGATTAGGACTTAAACATAGTTCTTCGTCAAAATAGTTACACCGTCGGGAACCATACATGGTCAATTCAGGCAGTGACGGTATTTCTATTCTCCATCCGTCGTCGTCGGTGAGATGCATATGTAATTTATTCAACTTATACATTGACATTGTATCGATTAATTTCATAATAGTTGTCTTATTGTGAAAGTTTCTGGACACGTCTATCATATATCCGCGATATTTGAACCGTGGGTGATCTTTTATTACTACTTCCGGTATTACAAATGAAGATTCTAACATACTAATGAGCGTCTGTACTCCATAAAACGCACCCGCGCCATTTTTTGTAATTATGTCAATTGATTCGGTGTCCGAATTCACCTGTATTTCATATTGTTCATCACTGAAATTTCCGCTTGTTTTAAATTCCACATATTTACTTGATGTTCTCTGCGTTACAGTTTTAAGTCCAAATTTTAAAGCAAGTAATTCTGAAGGAGTCACGTGATCTGTATCAGCAGACGATTGTTTTACGACAACCCAAGTCTTATCAAATACTACATTTTTGTCACTTTTTGGCTTAACAGAGAAAGGTTTTGGTATGACCTGGATTAAGTCTTCAGACGTTGACGTTGACGTTCCGTACGTTGCATTATTTGTATTATACCGTTCCGTAGGTGTATAGGGGTGATATGCATCAAACTCGTTTCTCTTCCATTGAAAGGCGTTCGTAAACTGGTTCACGAACGACAAACTTTCACCACGAGTGCTTTCCATAATTCTTGGAGACGATAATCCGTACACTGTCGAAGCTACGTACCAGTTCGGAAACTGGTCGGTTTTGGATGAACACTTCCATTCCCGAAAAAATAGCTCAACACTTTCTGTAGGGGCTAGTCCTTTAAACTTCCCTTTAATTGGGGATAAGTAATTAAGTCCTCCGTTGACCCACCGAACCTGAAACCCTGCAGTTTCATTGGTGCGTTGAGGTGCCAATGAATAAAAATATATCCGCCATTGACCGTATGAAATATGACTGTATCCGACATTTGTTAAAGTTATTAAAACTGAACGCGCCGTAGGAAATGTATCACCTGCAGTGACCGTTACTTTCAAATATTTCGCTAGGTAATCGATAATTGGTTGATCAGAAACTGATTTCCCGTCAACCCTCAGTCTGCTAATGTAATTCCAACTTCCGTAAATCACTAGCACTAAACAAACTAACAGAAAAACATTTGAGCGTTTCCTTACAGCGCACGCCACGTATTGTGCAAATTGCGGCATAATTATTCGTAATTAATTATAAAACCTTAATAAAACGCTATACATGTTGCACTTTATATTTCAACACACCGTATTTATCGTGTACACCGTTTAAGTCCACGTGTGTTTTGCTTTTTACATGCTTTACATATTACCGTTGCCAATTATTGTTTGTTTAAGGTTAAACTTGGTCATGATTGAATGGAGGTTTAAACATATCATAGATTAAAACACGTAAGGAAAGAGCTTTTTAACTGACCGACAATATGCTACATTTCTATAATAAGCGTCATTCAATGTGTATATAAACAGACAGCGGCGTAGCTGTAAACTATAAATGACAATAAGAAAAGCCTGGAGTTAACGCTGCATGCCTCCAGGTGAACAAACATTTTTTTTAAAAAAACCAACATGGAGAAAATTGTACGAAGATTTTAAGAAAAGTGAAATAATTCAACTTTCAAGAAGTAATTGACATGTTAGTCTATAGTTTATACAAATTTATTTTAGTTCGATTGTGTTGAAGCTAATATATAGCTTATTGAAACACTCTCGAATCCGTTCCTGGAACCAACCAGTACTAAGCAATGAATCGACATGTTGTATTCAACTAATGACTGACTTTGCAGTATTTACAAGTATCACCATAATGCGTGACTAACGCAGTAAGGGCTATTTTTCCATATTCTGATCAATCATTTGGTAGTTTTCGTAACTTTTAAGCGCCGTTTACAATATTTTAAATTACTGCCTTTGTTCACCTGACAATGTTTTACTTTTTAATTCATTAAAAAACATGAAAATTAGCACGAATCTGGAGGCGTGCGTCTTTAATGTAACAATTTTTTTAGAATAGGTGAAATATTTAAAAGCTTAATAATGGAACATGTTCTACGGTAGAAAACACGACTGGACATTGCAATACGATGTTCAGGCGATTTAGAAATATAATCCACAAAAGCAGTGGTCATTTACCCGTATAAACCGATTAGGATTTGTAACTCCTACCTAATATTTGATTTTAGTTAAAGCAGCACGCCTCCAGATTTATGCAAATTTTCATGAAAATTTTGAAAATTGGTTTAATAGTAAAATATTGTTAAATGAACACAGAAAGTAATTTACACATTGCAGACGGCACTTGCAATCCACATAAATTACAAGAAAATAGTTCCATATATGCAAAAAGAAATATGGTAATGAATAGTGCAAAATCAGTCAATAATCGCACATAACATGTAAATCATTACTTGAACCTTAATTTTTTTACTTTTATTAAAATTGTATTACACTTTTCCCAAGTTTGTTTTTCTTAAAATATTTCGGCTCACCTGGAGGCATGCACCTTTAAAAGTAGAAGAAAACCACCTGGTATAAATAGCATATAATGCATTTAAAGCTACATACCTCCAGCAGAGCCAAAATATTTCAAGAAAATCATACATGAGGAAAATGTACTAAGATTTAACTTAAAGTAAAACGATTTCAAAATTCAAGTAATAATTTAAATATTATGTGCGATTAATGACTGTTTTTGCAGTTTTTTTCACCATATTTCTACTGCGTGAATAACGCAGTAACGGATATTTTTGCATATTTTGACCTCTCTTCTTTTTTTGGTAATTTACGTGGATTATAAGTGCAGTTTGCAATGTGCAAACAACATTTTTGTTCACAATATTCTTCTTTCAAATATACTTAAGGACAATGAAAACGCACGGTCGGGATAATTGCATTTTAACAAGGAAAATATATTTCTTTTAAATATTTGTTCACAGTTTCATAAAACCGAATGCATTCCGGTCATTTCGATACCAAAGTTATGAAAAATGATTGTATTTTAATGAAGTTATTGCATAATAAAGACAGTACCCGAAAAATCGAAAGTAACACTTTTGACTAATTGTGATAAGATCACAACGAAAAACAAATTGAACCAACTCATGGTTACCTTATTAAATGATTTTTTTTTTAAACTGTTAATTATTAACTTGTTTTTCACATCTTTCTAGAAATGTAAGACACAAATGAGCAATTAAAATCTTAATGAAAATGAATATTAAACTATGCCAATGGTCAGTGTTAGAAACCGTTAAAGCTCACATAGAAATTGTGTATACATCTTTTCCTCTATAGAAGGTGCTAAATTTCAAACACTACTGAAGACTTGCTAGCAAATTGTATGCAATGTTTCTACAAAGAAATAACCGCTGGGTAGATTTAGGACAGATTCAGTCTGGTCTATCTTACAAACAAAGCGCCAACCGTTTTGGTGTCCTTCGGTCTACAATTTCTCGGCTTCACCAGCACTACAGACCGAATGGCGTCAGATTCTACAGGCGACTATCCGCACCGTAAGGTCTATGAGGCAACGACATTGGAGGACATTGTTGTTTCTAAAGATCCCGACGGTGACATTACGAATATACATTAATGAGCGACTTTGTTTTGGATTTTCATTTTGGTTTTTGCCTTTGTTAAGTTTGCATTACTATGATGAAAAAGTGTGATTTTGGGATTTCACCTTAGGTTCTTCCATTTACTGGTGTACATTTGATTTTAAACATTTTGAATTATTTTCAGTTGTTAAGTTTGCGTTTTGTATTAAAGTTATAATATATATCTAATGGAGTCTTTAGTGTTTTGTTTTCATGTAATAAAATGATATAGTGCGGGCGTGCGTTTTCATTGTCCTTAAGTATACATGTTTGAAATTTTCATGAAAATTAGTATGGATCTGCAGGCGTGCTGCTTTAAAATAAGAAAGAACGCAGAAATTAAATTGCCACATGCTACGTGTATAAACATTGTATAATATTATACTAGTATACATGTATATAGTTCCTGCACCATCCAACAAATGGGAGGGGCGAAAGCTTTATGTAACAGATAATGAATTCTGTCAACGGTAGTTATTGTTAATAATGGTAACTAAACTTTAATATCTATATATAAAATTGTATGTCGCGAATAATTACCTATTTATTTTATTTGACATTTGTATTGTAACGAGATACTGTGTTGTATAAATTACGATATAAAAATAATATGTTCTGTTCTGTTATTAAGTGATGGTACATAACGTAGTTCTTTAACCGGATTAAATATAAATAAGGGATATCATACTGCGCGATAATTTTATTTTTCTACTTTCCACCAACTTTATGCGAAATCACTGCAAAATAAAAACAAAATATTAGATTAAAGTAATTAAACGTTTGGGATTTAAACCTTCCTTTTTCTTTAATTTTGATAAAGCTCTTTTAATGCAAAACTTTCAAACAATCTGCAATAGCAATACATTTTTATCATATGTAAATGTTCCATTAATTCAGAAAATTACTTGCTTTTTTAGTCTCTTAATACAAGATTGTCACACATAAAACATAACGAGTTTTCCAACAATTATTCACTTTCCAGATTGCTACTTTTTATATAATATGGGTTTGATATCCCATGTGACGTCCATGATTACGTGGTTTAACGTTTTAATTTGTAAAACTGTATCTCGAATCATCCAGTAATTAAGTTAAGTTCACATATTAGCGCCTAGATGACAGCGATGCCTGATATTTCTCTCGCGAAAAACACTTTAGCCATGTCCCTTGTGGCGGAAGGAGAAACTTTTAATGGCGGCATCAATTTATAAATTGACATTTGCTCAGCATCCTTGCAAATCACAGGAAAGTAATTTTAATGAACGTTGTTTGGTTAAAACGCTTTGTGTGATCACAAAAGGTCCTGAAATAAAGTAAATCTCGTAAATTCTATTTGTTGACCTATTTTGTAGTGGTGCCGCCCCAACCCCGGTGTTGGAGTGGCTTTGGCTACTGTGCATGAAATGCAATGTATGCTTTCATTTTTTTTTATTTAATGATGCCTGTTATGATTATAATAACTGACGACTGTTTTAATGAATCAATTTATAAAATTACGATGAATGCCTAAATGTATGAAGTATAAAGTGTCTTTTTCTTGATAACATTTTTAATGAAGATGTTCATCGAACGCTATCTTATGGTGGTGCAGAATTTGCTTTTAATCATCATCATCATCATCATCATCATCATCATCATCACCATCATCATCATCATCATCATCATCATTATTATTATTATTATTATTATTATTATTATTATTATTATTATTATTATAATTATTAATATTATAATTATCGTCATCATCATCATCATTATTATTATAATTGTTTTATCATTATCATTATTATTATTATTCTGTTGTCTTCAACTCGATACATGTTTAAAGGTAACCCTGTCTTAAGCTGCCACCTGGGACGATTTATGTAGCTGTGTTTGCTAGCAGATAGTATGTCATCAAAGTATCAAAATGTAAACAAAGAAGTATATTGTGTATTTTGATTCCCAAACAAAATACTAAATCACTATAAATATATTAAATGTACTGAGTGCAAAAATGCATCAGAAGAAGAAGACAGTTCAGGTAATTGGCCAATGAGTAACTTGTGGGAATCTATTAAATAATGCCAAAGGTAAAAAACGATTTTAAGGAAAACATTTGTGTGGCATAATGGGTCTTTGAATGAATCTTTGTCAACTAATGCAAACTTTTTCTGAAACAATTTATTAAATACATGTACAACTAAGATCATATCATTTATATAAATTTGTATTTATTTCTTCTACAAAGGACGGGTCAAAATACAGAAAGATGAAAACCACAATTCACCCAAAATCAAAAGGAGTGAGACTAAACAAAATTGTTGGAGCTGAGCACCACACAAAAAACCGTTTTATGTATACACCAGACAAGGCGCTTGAATGATTAAATCTCGCCTTTTTATGCGCCGAAACTCACTTTAAGACATCTAATTCATCTTTTAAAACCGATTTATATACGGTTATGAATACAAAATGCAAAAAAATCAGTAAAAAAAAGTGATTTTTTTACTCTGTACGAAAGACCGATGGGGACATTTCAACTTCATGAATTCACGATTTCAACTTCATAAATTAAAACTCAAGAATCCGTGAAGTAAAAATCTTGAATTCGTGAGGTTGAAATTGGGAATTCACGAAGATGAAATGTTCCCACCGGTTTTTTGTAACTTTTAAAATGAGTTCTGCAAGCGTCTAGAGGTACTGCTCCAACACTGTAGTAAGTTAAATCCATAAGAAAACTAGAAAAACAAGCACATGTACAAAACATATTCTTTTAATAGAACCACAGAAAATAAAACCTGTTACTTCTAAAAATTGGGATGAAGTGTGATCCCTCGGAAACATAAATCACAACAAAATAACATTGAAATTGTGGGCTCAGTTTAATTGAGTCTGTACATGAGCCGAGGGATAATGAAAAAAGTGCAACATAATGTTGTTTACGCCCATTAGCATCGGCTAAGGTGTGTACAATATTTAACCACTAACTTCTATAAGAAGATAAACGTGGTTAGTAACCAACTAACGAATCCCAAATAAATCATTTACAAATTTCAAAGCTCTTCAAAAAATGAAAGAAATGTGAATTTTAGTAAAATTTCAAATATTAAATAATACATGTACATGATTACATTTTTACAGTCTTTTGAAGGAATAAAAAAAAACAACCGTATAACGGTGTTTTGTCATGAAACGTATAACTTTCATATAAGCATAAGTAATCAAACAAAGTAAATAAAACAAGAGACTTTCGTGTCTGCTTCATAACATAGTAAACATTGTTTGAATAAATTAGAATGAAACATCAAACTGTCCTTATCTAAATATATAACATGATGTACACGCAAGCGGATGTATTCATATACATTATAGTTTATTAGCAGTATTAGTATTCATAGCTGCATAAAATGCCCTCTTTTTCATGATTTGCATCCATTTGAAACGGGTGTCTCCCTTGTTTAAAAAAGCCAAGTTCTTCTTTGAATGCATCATCATTCAAGCTTCGTCTTCTAAACTAAATACGCTGTAAAATAAAACAAAGGGAGGTAACAATTATACAAAACATATTTTGGTAATCTCAGATTAGTCTCCCTTATACTCTTATTACCAGCAGGTTATAGTCTGTTTCAAAATTTCATTCGCTTTGATTTAAAAATAAAATGTGTTTTATTGATTTCTGTTGAATATCAGAATTCTTTAGCTGTTATAAGTTTTAAAAGGCTCATAATGAATGAATAAAATTTGCGTCCCTCAAACGTTACATGCAATGTTGTAGGGAAAGACAGTTGTTCGAAGTCGGTAATGTTAAACCGTAACAAATCTCAGAATGTGAAATTTGCGTCCATCGAACGTATTGTATTTATTTACTTCGTGAATATATGATAGTATATAGTACAAAATTAGATTATATATTTAAACCAGCAAAGTATAAATGTAAGCTGTTTCAACAGTCGTAGGTACGAATCCCGCGAGTGACTAGTTTCTTTCATATGAGGAAGCTATGGAACGACTTACGTCAGTGGTTCTACTCAGGAACAAGCTCGCGCACTGAGTGACACCTCAGGTCTTTCTACACCATTAAAACGGAATTCGGCTATAAAACAAAACGGACAGACCTTTATTCAACTATATACACACACATTTCAGCACTTTAGTCCTCCACCATTAAGCGACTTATCGTCGTTTTGTATATATGACGTCACAGGCGGACTTATAGACGTTGAAAATGTATGCGGCCAATCAACACCGGCGTTGTTTTGAAAGTATGGCAGGGCAATGTTTGAAAACTGCGACATCGGTGGCATATGATCACTTCCAGTATATGGAGGTGTCCTAGTTTGGATATGTAATGCTGTAAATGTAAGAGTTAGGGTAAAGTTTTTTCTCTTCAAATGTAATTTTATTATAAGAAAATAATTTTATTAAGAGAATATTTTTATTACGTGAAATATGGAATATATTTTCACTTAACATGATAAAATTCCATATATTTCTCTCGTCGGAATTTAATTTCACCTTCAAGAAAAAGAAATGAACTCTAGTTGCAAATATACAGCGCGCAGTGATACAATCATTTATATGTGCGTGACGCGGTCTAATACATAATTTGTTACCGCCTTAGAAAGCATATACATGTACAAATAATAATCTTTATCATTAGCCCATAAATATCAAATATGTGTTTTTGTAAAAACTTAATGAATACAAAACTTCAAACATATTTAATTATTTAATGTGTATTTTTTGTAAAAAATGTAAATTAAAAAAAAAAACAACTTCAAACATATTTTACCTTGTTGCATACTAACAGACTTATCGATGACTTTCTGTTGTTTTCTCCATTTTGCCCGACGGTTCTGAAACCACACCTTTAATATACAGTCAGATAACTTTATTTAGTATTTTGGTATTTAAGGGAAAAAAATCAGTATGTATGCAATATAACTGATACTGAATGAGTGTAGGTTCAATACGGAATTAATTGAACGAGTTGAATAAAATTATACTATACGAGCCTCTGGCAAGCACATTATTATTTTATTTTATTCAACGAGTTCAAAAAATTAGTAATGAACCTTCACGAATATAACATTCTTTTTTTCACATACCTAAAAAAAATGAACTGTTTACAGTAGAAACTAAAAGATCACAAGTGACGCATCCATAGGGTTACGCTTACATGAATGCGCTTCAACGCTTCTTTTGTATAATGCAAATGACGTCACGTCAAAATAAGTATTTGCACGGCCATGTCATATCATTCTGTACGGTTGCGGCACGGGTATGTGATAACACGTAATATGATGATATTTCAGTTAGATAGAAATTCCACAATAGTATAAAAAATACCAAAATACTTGTTGAAAGATGAAAGAAATTATTGGTTAAGGCGTCGGACAAGTTAACTAAAGATTGTTTGCCCTGTCAGGGGCAAGCCATTGTTTCCGTGAGCACGAAACTTTACATTTATTCCAGGAACGGATTCGAAAGAAGTGTTTCAATAAACGTAAAGCTTCCAACGCAATCGATCTAAAATAAATTTGTATACACTTACTAAAGATAAAACATACAACATCATGTTGGAAAAAATACAATCTTACTTGGACTCGTGCTTCAGTGAGATCTACTTTTATCGCCATTTCTTCGCGTAGAAATACATCTGGATAATGAGTTCTCTGGAAAGCTCTTTCCAGCTCATCAAGTTGGTAGCTAGTGAAAGTAGTCCGGTAGCGTCTCTGTTTCCTCTTTCCGGTTGGCTGCGTAGTACCTGAAATCAAAACGAGGCTCAATCAAATATATTGTAATAATATGAATTGTATAATTAAATGTACACAATATTAACATATTAATATCAAGTTAACATGAGCAACGTAGAAGTGTACCAAAGGTAACTGGTATTCAAATGGGCCTTTCCCGGACAGATGCATGCTTCGTACGCCGAAATGTGAATATTGTTGTTGATAGCAAACAAAATAAATAAAAATAAACGAAAAGTGAAATATAAAAAACTTATGGTAAGCGAAAAATTCGATAAAATTGCAAATAAAATAAGTTTAATTGACATTTTCATGTTATCTTTTTATGATATACTTTAATGCAGATTCTTTCAATAGAAAGCCATGCTTTAACCATATTTACAAAGCTTTCGGATGTCGTTGCAATAAAAATGTTACTAAATGTACATGTAGTATGAAAATAAGAAAAATGTGAAACATCTAATTACTGACTTTTTGATAAATTATTGGACAAAAAAAAAACAACAACAAAGAAACAAAAAACAACAAGAACAAACAGTACAAACTTATTATTTATCAAAAATCTATGCTATCTGTACAATATTTGCCTTTTAATATTGATTTGGTAGGGTCTAAAATATATAAAAGTTTTTGTGTTGTTTTTTTAAAGAAGAATTTATAGAAACAGTCCAGTTTTCCATCACCAATCGTTTTAAATTCCAAAATTTTCACTGAATTTGTTTCTTTTGCACGCCGCTTCTTTCTCTTTTGTTTCCAAGGATTATTTTTTTCTTAAAACGTCAGTTCAATTTAACAGAACCAACCATATGATTATCATCAGAATTTGGGGGGTAAAAATCACAAATGAAAATTCCTAGCCTTGGCGTTCTGTTTGTTTTTGAAAGTACAGTAACTATATTCATTTTTGTTGATTGGGTTTATTTATTTATTCATTTATTTATTTCGATAAAATTGAACTTGCCTGAATGTCTGTCATTTTGCAGTTTTACAGATGATTCCGAGTCACTTTTCGGCTCATCGTCGTGACGAACTTCCGGTCTGTCGCGAGACCCGCCAGTGACGTCAAAATTTACATCAGACGACACCTGAGGTGGCCTACTCCTGATCTCGGAGTTATAATGTACATTGCTAAAGGAATGAGGATACCCGAGTGACGTCTGGAATTTTCTTTGAATAAGGTCATCATTATATCCTGAAACAGAACAAAAGACGCAAATTCACATTTCTTTTCACTAAAATATTCTTTTCGTGACTTCCGAATACAGTAAATCCTCTCTATTAAGACCACTAACGGGACTGACTCAAAGTGGTCTTAATAGTGAACTGGTCTTAATAGTGAATAAGTCACTTTAACAACTGTCGAAGTCCAACTTAACATAATGTATACCTTGTATAGTTTTATGTACATGTACTACTTTTTGCTAATCGAATCATATTTCTAATACTTCTTTAAAGAAATGTATAAATGATTTATTTGTAGATTACTCTCTGTATAGTCCAAATAATATAGAAAATAGCATGCTTGTGTCTGATATTACAAAATACCAGGCAAGGCACAAAAAAAAAAAAGAAAAAGGCGAGGCTCTACCGAGCCCTTCACTTTTTCGTGCCGAACCTGATTTTTTTTATCAGACACTTGCTTGGTATTCTATTTATCATGTTTTCAACTTAAATACGCGTTTCTTTCTTTAAATTTCAATTTTTAAATTTAAACAAAAACCTGTCAAGAACCTCCTGAGTATATGCCGCGCGTAGTAATATGGTAAGTGTAATGTCTATAAGAAATAGTTCCAAATGTAAGAGAGACTTTAATATTAAAAACAAGATTGCATTTGAGAAAAATGCTATGCCACCGCATGGTTCAAATTTCATAGCTGTACATCAAAGGACAAGAAAGTAGGTCACATCATCAAAATCTAGGTCACCTGATATCAAAGTTCAATTTTACAACTAAAACTGTGCACATGGTCAAAATGTCATTGCTGTACATCAAAGGACAAGAAAGTAGGTCACTGTCCCCTTGGGCAAGGCATAATTTTGACCCAAGGGTTTAATTCAAAACAATTTTGATACAGGTCCACCAAACAACATTTCAAGTCAAATATCTAAGCTATAGCTTTCTCCCATTCAGAAAACATTTGTTTTATTTTCTGTTTTTACTATGTGTACATTATGAGAATCACTGCCCCCGGGCAGGGCCAATTTTGACACCAGGGGAAAATTTTGAACAACTTTGGTAGAGGACCTATAAATGATATTATATATCACACATCAAAGCTCTATGCCTTGTACCTTCAGACAAAAATACTTTTTATTTTTTCACTATATGTACATAATGAAAATCAATGACCCCCGGGGCGGAACCAATTTTGACCCCAGGGCTATAATTTGAACAATCTTGCAAGAGGTTCACTACACAATGTTTCATGCAAAATATCTTAACTCTAGCCTTTGTAAATTTAGAGAAGATGATTTTTAAGTTTTTACTATATATATAAGGAAAACCTATGGCCACCGGGGGCGGAGCTAATTTTGACACAAGAGGCAAAATTTGAATAACTTTTGTAGAGTACCTTTAGATGATTTTATTTAACAAATTTTTAAGCTCTAAGCCTTGTACCTTCAGACAATAAGATTTATTTATTTTTTACTATATGTATATATTGAAATCAATGACCCCAAGGGCGGGGGCAATTTTGACCCTAGGACTATAATTTGAACAATCTTGCTAGAGGTTTACTACACAATGTTTCATGCAAAATATCTAACCTCTAGCATTTGTCAATTGCTAGAAGAATTTTTTTTGAAGGTTTTACTATAAGTTTTTACTATAAACATATACATATAAGGAAAACCAATGACCCCCGGGGCGGGCCGATTTTGACCCCAGGGCTATAATTTGAACAATCTTGGTAAGGGTCTACAAGACGATGCCTTATGCAAAATATCTAAGCTCTAGGCCTTTTGGGTTTTTACAAGAAGGTATTTTAAGTTTTTACTATATGTACATAGTGAAAATCAATGACCCCCGGGGCGGAGCCAATTTTGACCCCAGGGCTATTATTTGAACAATCTTGTTTGAGGTCTACCAGACAATGCCTTATGCAAAATATCTAAGCTCTAGGCCTTTTGGGTCTTTACAAGAAGATTTTTTAAATTATTCTTATAATTCCTTTTGGTTGCCATGGCAACCAGATTTCTGCATGGAATTAAATTCTTTGAACAACTTTGGAAGCCCTTCACCCAAGGAACAATCCTGCCAAGTTTTGTTGAAATTGGACTCGTGGTTTTTCACAAGAAGATTTTTTAAGTTCACTATATAATCTATATAACACACACACAAACACACACACAAACACACACACCAACACACGCACACACACACAGGTGAATCGCTATATGCCACCGCATCGCAGATGCTGCGGTGGCATAAAAAATATTTTCGATTCAAAAATTATAATGAAAGTATAATCGTTTCAAACTACATGTATGTAGTAAAAGATGTCTGATAAAGCTGAGGGTGGCTGACAAAGCTAGAATTATCAGGCATTCATTTTATCACCAATATAATGATAATGATCATTACCTATGTAATTACATGATGAAATATTATTATCCCGAGAAGTGAATTTACAGAATTTAATATTTTAAAATTATAATTCTACGTGTTTATCTAAAGTTTATATGTTAAACAAAATGCCAATCCTTCTAAATAAAAAAACATGTTTTACGGCTAAAGAACAAAAAGGTCAATTTTGATATTAGCTATTGAAGAGGGTAGACATAGAAATATTGAAAGAAACCAACGCCTCTGTACAAAATGCAATATGAAACAAATTGAAACTGAATATCTCTTCTTATTAGTATGTCCATATATTATAACGACTTAAGGAAAACATGTTTACCTAGATATTATTGCTCATGGCCTAATTTAAATAAATTCATATCAATAATGAAATGTACGAACAAAAATGTAATTGTTAACTTAGCAAAATTTGTTTAGTCAGCAATGCAACTGAGAAATGAATCTACTTAATACATTTGTTTGAAATAATGTACGCTGATAAATAACTATGTATATGTATAATTTATCATGCATGTATCTTACTTTTCTGTACTTTGTACCGCCAAAATGTTACTTGGCGATGAACATGTATATGTTTTTGCCAATAAATTATTTGACTTTGACTTGACTTGACTTGATAATTATAATTTAATTTAATTTAATTGGTGTAAATTCAATTTTATCATTATAATTAATATATTAAGTGATTATGTTTAAATAAAGATTTTTTATTTATTCTAAAATGTTCTCTTTGTTATATGAAATAGCTTTAAGAGCGGGATTTTAATGAAATTGAAAATAGGGAGAAAATAAACAGAATACTAAAACAATCGTTTCAAATAAAGACCGCGTTAGGTAGCGAACAAGACAAATATTTATTCATAATTCATCATTTTGAATGTATGTTGTCCTCGGTAGACATGGTTTTATATTTATTTATGACGTTTTTCTCGTGATTTTGTATTTGTACGCATACTGATATAATCAAATAAACTTGGAAATTTGGTGAAAAATGAAATATATTTTAAGATTTAAGTTATAATACATTTGTAAATTACATTTTTACATTAAATGCGCGTAAAAAAGACATGTCTCTTAATAGTACTGTTTATCATATACTTATAAGTGAAATTTTGAGAAATATTGATAAATTAAAATACGTATATTTTCATTTTCCATATTTTCACTGTAAAAAAATATTTTTCATAGCAGTAAAACATATTTTCTGTATTTTCACTGGTGTCTTGCTTGACTTCTTTCTGCTATATTCAGCAAATATACAAAAATTGAAAAAAGAGTATTTCAATAGTGATGTCAAAAAAGATAAAAATGTATATAATAAACAGAAAATTCAAGTTTTTTTCTAGAAATACAGGATTTACTTTCATCTGATTGTATGAAAAATGATTATATTTTACCCGTGGCTACCGCGTCACTCGAAGAAAATATTTGCTGTATTTATAGGAGAAACTTTAATATCTTCTCTATATATATGTATATCTTATATTTTCATGTTTATTGTTTTATGGTCTTATGTTAATGTTTAAGCAACGTTTGATAGACGAATTTACACAAGAATGGCGAACTAGTATCAACAATATGGAGGTTTTAAATTTGTATAAATATGTAAAAGATACATTAGAAATGGAACCATATTTAAACAATATCGCATCTCGTAACCTACGGATCGGATTGACAAAGTTGCGTATATCCGCACATAGTCTAAGAATCCAGACCGGCAGATATGGGAGAGATAGATTAGAGAGAAATCTTAGAGTATGTCAAATATGTAATGGTAATGAAATAGAAGACGAGTTCCATTTTGTTTTTAATTGCCCGGCATATCATTCTATTAGAGTAAAGTATATCAAGAATTATTTTAGAACAAAGCCAAGTATGTTTAAATTTACACAATTGTTGTCATCTAAAAACAAGTCAATTATTGTCATGTTAGCAAAATTTATACATGAATCACTAGAAATACGTACGAGTAGATTATTACGATCCAACAACTGATTTACATTTAATTGTTTGTAATATATCATTTGTAAATATGATGCTTGTTAATGACAAAGATGTAAAAATTTATAGATTGTATAAAGCACATCCTAAATGCATTTTTCAGAAATATATAATTTAAAACAAAGAAGATTGTATATATCAAAACTATGTGTATAAGAAAGTGAGCAAACGATGGATTAGAATGAGTATTTTAAAATAAAAAAAACATCAACAGAAAGTGAAGCAATCGCTCATATCGAGCGAATTTTCAAAAATGCTACATTCATTGAAGAAAAAAGTAAAGTTAATGTTACTACGAAAAATGCATATTATATGATAGTAATCCAACGAGTGCTCAGTGTTTTAATTATAACTTATACTTTTATATGGCATTGTATTTTGCATATGAAACAAATAGAAACATATGGTATCTTTTTACATCAATCGAATTGTTGGTAGAATATTAAATGGCATGAAAAGCATAAAGCAAGCGAAAAAAATGTATTATTAATATTATGCTGATTTAAAATTAAATAATTTATAACGCAAAACATGTTATTATAAATTTTAGCGAAACGAATTGATACCATGATGTTTCTTATTACTTATGATGATATATGACATGATATAAAACAAACATGGTTACATGTATTGTCCATCACCATAAATATTAGATCAATTTAATTTCTTATATTATTATATCCTAATCCTTTTAGTATACATAATTGATATTTGTCACAATTGTATGTTCTATGTACACCTATATGTTAATTTGTAAAATGTAGTGGCTAGCCACTAGAAACTGTAAAGTTTATGTGAAATAAATTTGTTCGTTCGTTCGTTAATTGTCTTACTTTTAATTGTCTTATATTTGACTTCATGTATAAATATTTTTCTTCCGGTCCAAAACAGTTTGAATAATTATCACAAAAACTTACCTATGTTTTTGGCAGACGATAATTCTCCGTATGATTTCCCTCCAAATTTATTTTTCTTATTATGATATTTAATATATAATCACACATCAGATTCTTAACAAAACTATAAGTATCTTTATACAGGTCTAACTTATTTTATTTAAAAATTAATAAAAAATTTAAATCATTTTCAAATTTAAATTTATAAGTTTTCATATATTTAAATTTTTGTACAAATTATATGTTAGTATTTCGAAAAAAAAGAATACACACCCGCGTAAGATTTAAATGTGAAAAATATTTCTTAAAAAGTGATCACGTGCGAAACTAACGCTGAATTAACTACTGTCCACTCTGAATGTTTTCTTGATCTTGGCGCGAATAAGCGTCCTTCCAAATCGAATCTCGGAGAGTGATAGTTCTCCTACATTGATTGGAAAACCATCATGGGATAATTCAATTGTTTTATGTCATTCGCAATCAACTAACTTGATTAGTTATAAGACGGTATTGAAACTGTCTACAGAACGACATTCCGGAAAACATAAAATCGGCACTGATTTTAGCCTCTCTTGTAATAAGATCAGCGTATCAATTCAGTTACAATCTTTGGATTTTTTTGACATATTAAAATTGAAATATACAAATAAATATCAGAAAGTTGAGGTTTTAAAATTAGACGTTTAGACCTTCACCGTTATCTTTTTTAACCCAACAGAGAAATAAAATGAAAAAAACTTGTTAAAATACCTTGTATTTTTTGTCCAAACGCAGAGGGTCCGGCCCCGCTGAACTGGTCTTCGTGGACTCTGGCATGGTTAAGATCAGCCCCAGTGCCCATAAAACCACACCCGTCCGTATACGGCCGCCTTAACGGACTCGAACCGCAGATGGGATGCTCGAACTGGCGACCAAAAAAGGCCGCTTGATCTAGTTGCGATTTATCCAAATTCATATTTGATTTACTGTGAAAACTGCGTAATTTTTATTATTAATAGTAATTTGTTCCGACACTTGAGAAAGAATGATCGAAGTGAAATTGAGCGATGCGTAATATGTTAAATTAACGGGGCTTTGAGGGGCTTCGCAAAATGGAGTTTAATGTTTCGGAGATTCTTCCGCACGGGAAAGAAGACATCATATGTTGATAATGATGAGAGATTTGGAAAGTTATGAGCATTTTTTAAGGATTCCCCGGCTGCACTAGTAGAGGTTCTTTTACAAGATAGGGGAATGTAAGGAAGCTCTGTAAAATTAGATGTTCTCTAGTTAGTGAATATTTTCCTAAATTTCTGTTTCAAAAACAACGGACTTTATTGAGGACCGCAAAATGGATTTTAGTGCATTATAGCCGTATAAAAGTTCTTGCTGTAAAAAGTATGTGAGCGTTATCAAAATATTATAAAAGATAATATATTCTTATCATGTTTTCTCATTTACTTTTGAAGGGCGACAGGTCTAGTTCTTTAAATCATTGAAAGCTCTTTGTGTATTCATGACTTCAAAAAAGAGAATCTTTAAAACAAAAACAAGTGCAATAATTTTTTTTAGATTTAAAACTTCATTGGCTAAAACATTTCGCAATGTCCATCGCCATCTTCGACAGTTCAGTAAACATATAATGAGAAAAGTATGTACATAAACATTATGATAATGTACATGTAAGAATTATATATTATTTTTAAAAAGACCAATACACAAATTTGTGATATCTCTTACCATATATGCAAAGTTTGTATACTTCCAGTTTCTTTTAAAGGCCCATTATGCCCCAGAAATGCTCTTATTTTTATATGTAAAAGCATTTTTTTTTGGTGAACATTGATTGTTCCCAAAGATACTCATTTAGCAATTACCAGGACCATCTTTTTCTTCTGTTGCTTTCTGACTTTTGGCAATTAGTTCAGTTACAGTGATTTAGTATTTTGTATGGAAGTCAAAATACTTCTTTGTTTATATTTTATTACTTTTATGATACATACTTTCACATTTAGTGCCACTTTTCTTTTAGGTAACAAACATCTAAAATGCTCTAATACCATTATAATGCATTATTTAAATGTTATAACAATAGTGTTTGTCATTTCTAGGGATGTGAAGAATTATTCGTTTCTGAGACAAAATGTGCCTTTAAAGTACGAATACATATATACAGAATATAAAGTCATCCTGAGAAATGGTGATGAATACAATGGGCAAAATGAATGAATGAATAATAATAAAAATAATAATAATGATAATGATGATGATAATAATAATAATAATAATAATAATAATAATAATAATAATAATAATAATAATAATAAAAAAAAAAAAATAATAATAATAATGATGATGATGATGATGATGATGATGATGATGATGATGATGATGATGATGATAATAATCATAAAAAATAATAATAATAATACAAAAGTAACAAAAAAACTTTAAAAAGCAATAATATTAGCCTTTTGGACATTTGTGAAACTACCAGCATGTATTCAAGCAATAAAATTATAGCAAATTAAAATTATTTTCCTTTTTAAAGTACATGTAACTTACATTACGTTTAAGTTTCTTTTTTTATTTAATATTTTTAATAATTATATGGTCTTATATTTGATTAAGCACCCATTAAAATATCTGTCTTCTCTAAAAACCAGGGTCAAGGTTGTTCGGTTATCTCTTAAGTCATCAAAATGTTCGACAGTTTGACAGTTCCATAATTTCGTGGTCGATTTTCGAAAGAGTTATTACACAGAATGTCTTTGTTATTTAACACACATGGATAGTGTCCAATAACAGAATAAATTGTTCAGGAACAAAATATCATTCAGCTATTTTAAGTAGGATTTTAACTGTTAAGCAATGATTTCATGCATGCACCATTCATTTTAAGGCAATTTACTACCATATATATTTCACACAAGCATTTCGGAAGTACTCTTTTTTAAAATTCAAACAATAATTTTTGCATCAGATATATAGATAGTTCCCGGCTTTTACAATATTTTCCTCCATTGCCAAAAATTGGCAGTCATTGTGTGACACAGTAATGGGGCGGGGGAGGGGGGGGGGGAGAAGTTCAATATAAACCGCAGATTTTGATCAAATTCTTCTATCCATATAAAGGATAAGTTTACTATTTTACGATTATGTTAAAGATTTTTATCAGTTTTCATGAAGAGTATAGATGAATTATGACAGATTTTCATCTAAAAAAGAAATAAAAAAAGAAATAAAAAAAGAAATAAAATAAAAACCAACAACAGCAGCAGCAAAAATACATTTTTTTCTGGTTTTTTTTTCTGGACCTAGGTCGGTCTAGTGACACCATATTTATGACATTTGAAATGGTTCTGTCTGGAATCCGTAATTGAGACGTTATCGCCGAATTTATCTGATTGATTGAGTGTGGAATAAGTTGTTTTTATTTTGTAGGGTTCATCTTTATTTTTTTAATGAATATCGACTAGTTTTAAAAAGACATATGCGAGAAAGATAACGGTTTTATGCCATCTACACTTATCACGAAAGTATCTTTCTACAGTCTAACCTTTTAATTATTTTTTTTGAAACAGACTATAGACGTAAATTACAAACACACCTTCAAAATGCAAGAGTGTGATTGGTCTTTAAGATACCAATGTGACCTTGAACTAACAACATACATGTGTATATAAATTGTGACAGCTTAATATATTATTTCCGCTGCATTTGGATAAATATAACGATGAAAATTGACCTTCATACGCATATTTTACCCAAGGAATGGCCTGATCTGCGACAGGTAAAAATTAACTGTTATTTGCAGATGTAGATTACGTTTTAACTTGTTATTTCATGGACATGTACATTTTATAGTACGTAGTACTGGTAGATCTATATTATGCAAAACACTGGATGTTGTATGGAAATTATTATATATTATAATTGCAGAATAAGATTAAGTTTTAACATATTATTTCTTCTGAACAATTGTACTTGTAGAAATCTACATGTACATGTACATTTTATAGTAGCTATCATGCAAAACAAATGTACATGATTTTTGTATGGAAGTTAAATCTTAAAGGCATTGCATGAAAATATGCAGAAAACTGACTAAAAATAGAAGTCACGCGATGTTAATGCTCCAGACTTCCGGGGTCAGATCCTGACCCCACCTGATCTGACCCCACCTAGTCAATACTTTCTAAAAGCTTACTTATAAGGGGCAGGGAGTTACATTGAATTTCCGTGTATAGACACATATAGTCGTAATGGAAAAGCAATTAGGCTCTAAGTATCGGTAAAATAACAACACACTTTAGGCCTAATGTATATTTTCAGAGACATATAAATACATAAATGTATTTTAACGTCTCTGATATTTTTAAAGAGATGTAGATTTTTAAAGAAAAAGATTACATTGAAGTTAAATAAATTAGGCATATTCTTCCAGTAACTAAAGTTTTGTCTATAGTTTAAAAAAGACTTTGATTATGTATTTGTATTTTTATAAAGTTTTAACTATTTTTTTACAAAAGGTTAATACCTTAAAACATAATTGAGATTTGTGCAAAAGAATACAGATATGTTAGCAGATATGCGTACAGAAGTCAATTATTACACCAGAAAAACGATCACGTAGACATTAAAGCAGCGTGCCTCCAGAAAAGCCAAAATATTTCAGGAAAATCAAACTCAAGAAAAAATGTACTAAGATTTTTAAGAAAAGGATTAAAAGATTTAAGATTCAAGTGAGGAATTACATGTAATATGCGAGTTACGACTGATTTTGCAGTTTTTATCACAATATTACTACTGCGTGACTAACGCAGAAAAAACCTATTTTTGCATATGTTTACCTCTTTTTAGTAATATTAGTACACGTAGATTGTAAGTTAACTATTTCAATGAAATTTCAAGAATTATTAAATATATGCAAAATTTCAAGCCGACTCAGAAAATTCGAAGAAAAAAAAGATATACAACGTAATCTTACAATATTGAATTGATCGATCGATGATTATCATGCAAACATAATTTTCTGAAATCAAATACAAGACTTCAGGGTATTATTGTCTTGATACAATTAAATAATTAATACGATTTTAAAGAATTGGTTTATTTAGAATTTGTTTTAATAGTGCGATTGTATAGGAAGCTATAAGCTTGTAGACAAACGAAATTTTTAAAGAGTTAACATAATAATATCCGATTTTGAAAGAATGATAATTAAATATTAGTAAATAACGAAAAATCAAATAAGAGGAAGCGAAAATACTCTGATATAATTATGGTCCTTTTGGATATTGATTTATTTCCAATACTTAATTGTGGTGAAGACTGAATACTGCTAAAGCCGGTGCTTTGGTGGTGGGGGGCAGGTCGGGGTGGGCAGGTCGAGGTGAGAGATGTTGCACTTTTAAGTACATGTATCTCTCATGAACAGACTCAATCAAACCAGAGACATTTTATTGCATATAACTCTGTTATTAAACTGAGTTTTAAATTTTCATATTTTTCTTTTATTCTCATGCCTTTTGGGGATCTCCCCTTTTTGTTGCAAGGGTGCGATCTAGGTTGATTTAAATGGATCGAAATTCTGACAAGAAAGCACTTTTAAACCAGATATTTTATTTTAAAGTACGGTTTCTCTTCGTGTAATATTTTAGGCACATGGGTAGAACCACCGATATTTCGCAAGCTAACTGTATGGCTTCGTCACATGAAATAATCCAGAAACCGGATTCGAACCCAGAGCGATTATTATTATGTTATTATAATACGGCGACAATAACCACTAGGCCACGGTAAATGTGTTTTAAGATGAAATGTCACGTGACCTATTTCTAATATAGAAACATGACTGTCAAAATGCCTGACAAGATTTTGTCATATTATAAAAAAAGAAGTTGAGTTATAACTATCAGTCTGATTAACGTGCTATTTTAAAAACACCACCACGCGGACATCATCTCCAAATACTTTCACATACGAGGTGCATATTTTAATTAGTGGCAACAACTCAATGGGTTTAAACATATTTATTTAAGCTCTATTGCGAAATAAGTTCTTGCAACTTATATTAATCATTTTCGAGTCCGCTTCCTGGAACCAACCAGTACTGGTGTCATATAGTGACCTGAGTAGGGCTCGAACCCATGATCTCTGGGTTGATAGGCAGAAACCTTAACCTATAGGCTACCGCTCCCCTTAACAGCTAAATTTAACCATGATTTGCACGTGAAAGTACATGTATAATATACCGTTGGGAAGATTATTGATTTTTCTAACCAACAGTCTATCTTCGCACGATTTGCACGTGCAATAAAATTTAAGCAGGTCATTTATGTACATGTGGTTTTCTATACTGGTTGTAATATATTAATATAAAACGAAGCGTACATCCTTACAATTACAACATCAGTCAGATAAAAACATATTTAATTCATACAATTTGTGAAAATTGTGTAGACTATAAAGTTTACAATATTTTTCCAAGCGTTTAGTGGATGTTTAAGTCTATCCTTCAAAAGAGAAATATTATTTGCGTACTCCACAGAAAGTAGTCATAGGTAGTGGAAAATGGCAACTCAAACTTGCCTAACGCTGCACGTTATTAATTAGGCAGTTTCAAGGCTCCCCTATATTTTACAACCGAATATAGGCTGTTTCCCCTAGCTCAAAATAGGTATATGTTATATTTTCCCCCGAAATGCCCTGTGCTCATTCTTTACCAGAACCATGACTTATCAGCAGCTGACTTTAATGGGATACGGACAAAAGCCCCCCCCCCCCGGACGAAAGCCCGTAATTCGTATATATAATTCATTGATGATATGAATGTTTTTATGTTTACTTTATTATATATGTAAATTAATATTTTCAGAGAATCGCTTATCAACGCTTATCAAGGAAATAAAAGTGAAAGGCGCATACTTGTTTAGATTTTTTTGAAGTATAACCCAAGTTCCCGAACACTGGGCGTGTGAAACAAGATAGTAATCAGTCTGGTCTATAAACCTTAGGGGGCTTTTGTTTGATTGACTGGGGGAGGGAGCTTTTGTCCTACCTGTATTTTGATGGGGGGCTTTTGTCCTATGTGTAAATTTAATGGGGGGGGGGGGCTTTTGTCCACCTTGTCATTTTTAAATGGGAGGGGGGGGGGCTTTTTCGTCCGGGGGGGGGGGCTTTTGTCCTACACTCGACTTTAATCAGCTAGTTGATAAATTTAATTGACTGAAACACAGATGCACGTTAAAATGAATTGAAAATTCAAAAATCTGTGGGGTAAATTTCATTCTCAGTTGTTGGAATTTGATTTCAGAGGTTTCCCACTTTTTCTGATTGTTCGTGCAATAAGAAAGCTACAGTTTTTTTTAACTAAAACAAGAAATACTGTGCCTGAAATACAAAACAAAGTAAACTAAAAAAAATAACAACTTCCAATGATATATTTTCCTTTTAAGAGATATGGTTATGGTGATTGGGTCCAGCTGGATCACAGCTGTGAAGGTCGATGTGCCAACATGATGAAGGGGGACAAGTTCTTCCGGAAGGTTGAACCTAACTGCTGGTCGTTAGAAGATCGAATCTCCGAGATGGACGCCACAAATGTAGATGTTCAAGTGTTGTCGACAGTTCCAGTTATGTTTAGTTACTCTGTAAGTATACTGAACGTATTTGATACAATCTGAATGATATTCATAGATTTTCCCACAAGGCTTTTGTTAAAAAGTTTTACTTGTATCCTTTGAGGGGTCGATGTCACTTTAACTTGACTCATTGATTTGTTAAAATAGTAGATTGTTAAAATAATAGATTGTTAAAATAGTAGATTGTTAAAATAGTAGATTGTTAAACTAGAAGATTGTTGAAATAGTAGATTGCGTGTATTTTGAAGAGACTCCACGTTTTTTTTTTTTTTTTTTTTTTTTTTTTTTTGGACATGACGGGACTAGAAATGTTATGCATAGACCAATAATTGTGTGCAAAATTTCCGATCTTTTAATTGTTGTAAATTTACTCCGTTTTTATTCAAATTGTGTGAAAAAAAAATACCCAAAATTGAAAAGGGTTGCAGCACTTAAAATCGGGCTAAGAATAACATAAAAACTATTTTGAATATATTTCTTAGTTTAAGTGCCCCAGTTCATCTATAAAAAAATATTTTATGTTTTTAAACTTTTGGATCATAGTGGAGTTCTTTTCAAATACTTACAATTATCTTTTGTCTGACAGGCGAAGCCGGAAGACACCCTGGACCTATGTGAGATATTAAATAACGACCTAGCAGAGTCGGTAAAGAAATATCCGGACAGATTCGTCGGGCTAGGAACTTTACCCATGCAGGCACCGGAACTTGCAGTGAAAGAACTAATCAGGTGTAAAAAGGAGCTAGGTAAGAAATGTTCAGCATAATTTAAGAAATATTATAGCATGTAATTAAAAAATATTTACTACGAAACCAAGGAAACCAAACTAGTTTGGGATAAAATCAACAAAAAATCAAATACAAAAATATTCGGATCAAAATAAGGATCAATTTTAAGATCAGGATCAATATTTTGATAAAATGCCCGTATCTAAAATTTCATAAACTTGCTATTGCAAGTCTAGTTTTATCAAGTTAATATTAGATATTTAATCTATGAGGATAAACAATGAAGAATATTAAAGTTTTTAAATTTGATTGATCCCTAAATCTTTGTGATCACGGGGCCAGTAAATAAAACCACGTGCTAAAATTCTGTTGCACGTGCAAATCGTGCGAAAATAGACTGTTGGTTAGAAAAAATCAATAATCTTTCCAAGCGGTATATTATACATGTACTTGCACGTGCAAATCATGGTTAAATTGAGATGTTGCTACTAATTCAAATATGTCCCTCGTACATGTATGTTTATTATTAGATTATATGCAGGATGACAGAAAATATCTCCCTCAATACTTTGCCGATATTTTCAGTAACGAAAATGTTTCTAGGTGTACAAAGGAGCAAAACGTGTCACTTTAATGTATTTCTTGTTGTTTAAATGTCATTGGAATGGAATGATATTTAATGACATTTAGGAATGAAAAACGTTAAATGGCGTTTGTTTTGGCACAATTTCTTCAACGACCTGTTCTTGATTTAGTTTAACTTAAATCGTTTATCCATGTACAATACTATAAGTATATTAATGTTAACAAACATTATTTGAGGGAAACATCATTGAAAGTACAGAGCAATCTCATCTAACGGCCACCTCACACCAACAGCCACCTCTTTACAAAAACCAGCTTAAATTAACCCGGTAGTTTTATCTAATAGTATGTGATAACCTCGCATCAACGATCACCTCTCAACTCCGGTCAACAGCCTTTCCCTGTGTTTATATCTATAAATAAACCAATACATGTATATATCATGTAAATGTATACAATTTGTATATGATCAGAGCACGTGCTCTCTTCAGGTGGGTTGATGGAATCATGTACTTCACCTTTCGAGGAGTGTTACAAATGATTTGCGAGTTGGCCTATAATATTTTGTCCCGTCTGCGTCCCTGTTCAGGAGAGATAACTATGTTGAATCATCTTTAGCACACTCGTAAATTAAGCAATTTCGAAGTCTCTGTTCCATACAATCTGTAAAAGTCATGCGTTTCATGGAGAGTCCTAAGTCTTAAGTTTGTCTTAAGATAAAAATTGTGACAATTTTGCGTTTCAAAGAAAGTCAAAAAAAAGGTCCTAACTTATGACTCCTATATTTATGACCAAAAACAGTCCTAGTGTTTTAAAGGTATCTTAAGATTGTCCTAAGTCAAACCACTCTAAAATCAAACAATTTTTTGTTGAATTTTGTTTTGAAAACTATCTAGAATGATAGATAATGGTCTAACTAAGAAAATAAATCCGAACACCAATATCTTTAATTCAGTCATTAACGCTGTACAGACGTTTAAAGAGTTGTTTATGTAGCGCCAAATATCGCGTGCAAAACAAGACGCATCTATAAATAATAATATTACTGCGCGCTTTACAACTCAGGGGATTCGTAACCATTTTTTTTACTATGAAATTAAATAAAACGGTTATTTTATCGTTTTTCGTGAAATATGGTATTTATTTTCACTCAACATGATAAGAGAACAATACATAACTTTTTATACTTGCTATAATCAATTACATAGTAAATCCAATCCGGGATTATGCACGTGCCATTGTATTTTGTAACTTTTTTTCAGGAGAGCGAATTGGTCATAAGTCTTAAGTTTAAGACAATTAATAGGACATTTACTTGAAACGGTCTTAAGTGCAAAAACTTTTTCTCCTAAAGTTGGTCATTAGTCCTAGGATTTAGGATTAACTTAGGACTCTCCATGAAACGCAGCCCAGACTCCTAACTTAATTGGGAGTGATTCTAATAGAATTTCACCACAAAAAAGCCTGCGTATGTCGGTAATTTAAACATCAAATTTTATGAATCTTAATTTTTTTATTTAATGGCAAGTACCTTCATACATCAACACTCCACCCCACCTACTTAAGACACTGGTCCGATTTTTACAGCCGTGTGCATAATTCGGTATTGTTCATAATTATAATATCGCCAATATTGGAAACATCTTATTTTTTTTCATTCTTATTGATTTTCGCATGTTCTTCAAAATATTGTTCCCGGCTTTATTTTAGGTTTTAATGGCGTACAGATAGGTTCCCATGTGAACGACTGGAATCTGGACGCACAAGAATTGAGACCAATCTTTGCGGTATTTGAAACATCATAATTTACAAAAACAGTATATGAATATAATATATATTATTTATTATTTAAATATGTTGCACTTTCTTATACCGAACAAAAATGGCCGGTAAGCATAAACAGTAGAGCTGTCAAAAAGTAAGTATTTCAGATGTCTAATGTTCGAGCCACGTTCAGCTTCGAATAAATGCATGTGACCATTTTCCAGAAGTTGATGCTTGTTTTATACCCTTGAAAACTTATACTCAATATAAAAACAATTCAAAATATGCATAAGTCACGGTTTTCATTTTTTTCTTACATTTGAAATCGCCCAATGCAAAATGTTTTAATTGCGTTTCAATATGAGCGTATAAAACTCTCTTTTTTATTAAGTTGAACATAAAAGAAGCCATTCAAAAAATAAGTTTACATAATAATGTCCTTATAATGCAACTTTACCTATTTTTTCTCTTCTCTTTTTCTCCACTAGGCAGCAGAGGAGCACGGTGTATCTATATTTGTACACCCCTGGGATATGGAAATGGGCGGAAGAATGTCCAAATACTGGCTACCATGGCTTGTAGGCATGTACAACAATATTCCTTTCATTTTATTACACCAAATCACCACATATTTCTTCTATAACCACCACTTTGTTTGCTTTTGTTTGGTTTTACGACGCATCAACACAATTTAGGTCATATGGCGCCGAAACAGGAAAGATGATTTGGGCTAACTTCAGTTGTTATACACTTGAAGCAACACCAGGGGTCAAAACCGCCTCGCCTTTTGGAGCGTAGAGATACATAGTTTCTAATTCGAACCCATTTAGTCACCTCTGAAGATCACACAGGGCGGGATAAACGGTGGCTGCAATTCTGATGCCTCAACCCTTAAAGGCAACCCCTCTGTCACATTTTGGATATCGTTCGTATTTGAAATACACTTGTGTATGGAATACTATCTCATTTGGTAAAAATATATTCCATATTTCATTCAACAAAATATATCCTCTTATTATTTATACTTTATTATGTTATACATTATAAGAAGTGTTTTCTGTTTCAGGTATGCCCTCGGAGACGAGTGCGGCCATTTGTTGTATGACAATGGGTGGTGTTTTTGAGCAGTTTCCGAAACTGAAAGTTTGTTTTGCACATGGAGGTAGGTAATGAATTATTTATGGGTGTTGTTCACAAGGAGCACACTGTATGTTCATGCATGTCATTTATTATATACCAAGGCTTATGTCACACGGTGAGAAAAATGTGCAGCTTGACCTGGGACTCGGACCTGGGACCCTTGCAAAACGCTTCCACTGCTCCAAATAGTGAACAGGTCTAAACCGTGACACAGTCTTATAGTCTTTACTTGCTATACTAAGATCCCTTATGACACTTAAAACAAATGCTTAATTTGAAGCGATTTTCATTTACCAAGCAGTCACTAAAAATAATCAGTCTTGAAAAACAGATTGAGCAAATTATCTGACATTTTGCACTCGAGTCATTGGTCCAGAATTGCATCCAACGTTACAATAATCATGAAAAAGTATCCCCCTTCCAGTCCTGTAAAGAATGATCGTTGGAGTCCCTTTAATATGTTTTATAGCCACGGCTCTTGTACCTTTTTGACAAAACTATAAAATTCTACATAGTTTACTGATCTAACTTTTATTTATTACATGCTTTTCGGTGGTTAATAGAAATATATCAGTGATATAAAACTGGTAATTTCACTGTTTGAAACAGTGAAATTACCACTTTGATAATTTCACTGTTTTGAATTTAAGCCCCTTACGTTGTTTCAGTGTAATACCAGCGTGCACAGTACTGGGTACCAACTTAATGACGTGACGTCGTAAATGACGTCACGTTGTATTATTTTTTGGCGCGCTTTTCATTCAGTATTAGGTTTAATGTCTTTTTAAAACGTCTCTTTGCATATAATAAAAAGAAAATTTGTTTAGTTTAGTGTAAGATCGAAATATATTTCACCTTGTGAACACCAAAAGTTCATATTTCACTCGTGGCTGCGCCACTCGTGAAATATACCTTTTGGTGCTCACTCGGTGAAATATATTCCGATCTTACACTGAACTAAACAAATATCCTCTATATAAATTATAATTTGATTTTTTACAAGGTGGCGCTTTTCCATTTACGGTCGGCCGGGTAGAGCACGGGTATAACGTGCGACCTGATTTATGTGCTACTGAGTGCAAGAAAAGCCCGAGACAGTTTCTTGGTAAATTTTACACCGACGCCTTAGTTCATGACCCGAAAGCTCTTCAGCTATTGGTTGATGTTATAGGACAGGTGAGATAAAAAAATCTAAATTATTTGATGTTATTTTTATTTATTTATTGTTAAAAAATCCGTAAGATGTTCCCCAGCGTATGTTTCATATTGAAATAGCATTTTTCATGCAGCCAGTTATTTGTAATCTTCCGTAAATTATAACATAAAATAATTAAACTCTACCATTATCCATATCGGTATGAGGCTGAAAATTAGGAAATTGGTAATATTCGTCCCTGAGGCTTATGTAACTATTTAATTCTTTAGTCTAGATTTTTATCCATGATAGTTTTGCCGGCTTTTATAATTTATCAGTCAATCTATTAAATTTAAATATAATTTTTGTGGGCGTGATTAACTGTGTCTAAAAGAAAAATATATTGGTTTTCAGGCCGTTATTTCCTTGAACATACTTCTGTTCAAATCGCTATGTACAGTAGCTTGTAGAAAAAAAATTCATCGGACATAGTTTTTATGAAAAGTACACATTGTGCTTCAGTCTAATAAGATAGCATTATTCACGTACATTATTCCATCCAGGGATAAAAAAACATTTTATGTCCCAGTTCTGAAGCCCTTTTTTTGCCCTTTTTTCGTAGATTAAATCATGCAAATTGTCTTGTTTCAGGACCGAGTGATATGTGGGTCGGATTATCCATTTCCGTTAGGGGAACATCATCCGGGGAAACTTATTCAAGAATCTGACTTTCCGGAGGAAATCAAGGTCAGTGTAAATATACATGACTTGTTGTAACTGGATTCAACTGCACTGGATCTCCACTGATATCCAAAATCCTAAAACATAAAATTTCAATTTCTTACATAGATGAACTTGGGCACTTAAAACAGAAAAAGTGCAACAGAAAACGGAGATAATAGATTCTTTTATGGAAGGAAGTTATTCAGCTAGCTTACGGGACATCAGTGGTTTCACTCAGAAGCTAGCTCGTGCCTAAAAATATGTTGCTTAATTTAGATCGCTTTTCGAAGAATAGGGAGGGCTATTGTACGCACGTGTAACCCAATGTCCGCGTCACACTTTGGTTAAAATTGTTGCATGCCAAGTTGGTTTCTTCAAAACTACTGAACGGAATGGGTTAAACTTCGCACATCTGTTTTCTGTGATTATCTAACGGCTCAGGTCTGGAAAATCTGAGTTACTTTTTTACAGAGTTATTCTCCTTTTTAAACTGTCAAGCACTGAACATAGTCAAGCGCTCTGTCTTCCGGACAGCTCTTGTTTACAATCTAATGGTTGACAACAATTAAAATACACAATATTTGAATAACAAGCATGTGCAATTAAACTAGTTGCTTATATGAAGAACTTATATTTGTAACCTTTACTAAATGTACTAAATTCATTATGTATGTAGATCTATGTATGTTTCAGTTTTACTTTGTTAGGTTTTTGCTTTGTTTTTGAAATTCTGAGTTGTTGCTGTTAATATGTAATTTTCTCTATTTTTTATTTTAGACCAAGCTTCTTGTGGACAATGCTTGTGAATTTCTTGGACTGGATAAATCAAAATTCGAAAGAAAAAGTTGAACATTCCATTGACCAAAGTTATGTGTTTTTTTTAATATAAATTGTCTTTCAATCATATATTACGGTGATAGTCAGTTATCTTGCCAGTTTTTTTATATATAAGTATGTTTATTGTATACTATGTTGGTATGGTGCTTATCTTATCTAATTGACATGCCTGCTTTATGGTTTGAAAGGAGTTGTACATGTAAGTTTTTTTCTGGATACATATGTATAAGAAATATATGTATTATAATATTGATTTTTGTCACAAATTTTGTCAAATTTTACAGAAGTCGAGCTAGTTATTTCCTCTAGCAGCTCTTGTTTATACTGTTTAATAACATTCTTTGATAAAAAAAAATAAACCGAATCACGAGTGTTAACAAGGGAGGTAATGCATCAGTGCCTATAGACATTTTGTTCCTGTTAAGTTGTCTCCCTTACAAGCTATACGGTTATGTTTGTATTTGCATTTATAAATTAATAATAAATATATGTGTACATGTAACAGGAGTAAACGATTTGTGTCATTTATTTATTTCCATTAAATTATTCTTGTTTTACATTGTAGTGGTATTTGAATAAAACTTCATATAGTCCAATCTTGAAACAATATTTTTAGTTTGCCCTCCAGAGACCCATGCCAATTTGGGTAAATCATGTTGTTGTTTTTTTTGTACATCACAACAAGTTATCACCAGACCCAAATTTAATCAAATTTGTACCATTTGACATTCAACTTCCATAGCAACCACAGTTTTACTATATAAACCAAGATATACATGTATTTTATCCATTTTGTTTTTCTTTACTGACTTGACAGTTGGTGAGAAAGAAGATTTTAAATGGCTACAAATTAAATTCATGGAAATTACACACCAAAAAAAACCAACAAATCAACATGAAAAGTTTGTCCATTTATTTTGAATACAAGAAAATGATTAGAACATGAGAACATTTCCATGAATAATAATAATTATGAAAATATACAAGGTAATAAAAACATATAATCACTAAAATTGAATTTAATCTTTGGCTATATAAACAAACAAACAAAAATAGGGTCGTACAATACTACTCATGACACTTGCAAAGTAACGAGTTAAGTCCTTCTAAATTTTATAGGAGTTAACCAGTTATTGCACTAATGACACTTCATACTTTTAGAAACAAGCAAATACTTATACAGCAAAACTATGGAGCAAAAAAAATAACCCTATCAAAATAACAGTTCAGTCTATTATATGCTTCAAATTTTTTTTAAACTCCCTTTATAGAGCTACACAAATGACAGAAAAAGTGCTGCCATTTATGAAGGTAGATAAAAAATATGACATAAAGAACTTAATGTTTCAACTAGAATTTATACTTATTCATTTTCGAAGCAAAAAAGTAATAAGTGGAAACCTTATCAGATGTTTGTGGGGGCCTTTTAAATCTTTTAATCAATGTTAAAACAGAAATGAAGTGTGAAGCTTCAATTTTTTAACAAAAAAGGAAATTGGATTTTCCTCTATTAGTATACTTGTAGGTGGGAACAGTTTCATAAATTTTGATTACACATTAAATTTTGTTATTCATTAAAAGGATAGAACTTGGCCAAACTGCCTCAGCATCTAAACAGGCTTGGCATGGCCAGTCTGCCTCGACATTAACACTGGCTAGGCATTGTCAAACTGCCCCAACATTCATACAGGCATGGCTCGTACTTGGCTAAAGAAAAGCTGGTGTAATTTTCTGCTTTTAGAGGTGGCAAATTAAGAGTACAACCTTTACTTCCAAAATCAAATCTGAAAATCTAAAGCTACAAACATATCAACACAGAATCTTCAAACATGCAAAACAAATGTTACATATCATAGAAAATTATTCTCAAGTAAACTAAAAGACTCTTCAAAAATCACACCTCAAGCACTTCAAGAAAACAAAATGAAACAAAAACAACAACTTCAACCAAGCATCCATAAAAATCATACAGTTTCACTTTCATCAAATAAATTCCAAGTTCATGAACTTTTAAATATTCCAGCTTACTTTTATCAATATACAATGATTTTTTTTTATTGCTGTACTGTTCAGTTTCAGGTTCAAATGGAGTTGATTAAATAAGGGGGAATAACTTTTATAGGATTTAACAAGGAATTTATATACAATTTAACTTTCTTTTTATAATTAAAACTGATTCATTTAATGGACTTGTCAAATTAAAAATAGTGATGTTGATTATGTGTTCCTTTTTCTAGTTTTATGCCGATTTTTACACTTTTTTGGTTATTTCTCAGTAGGCATCTCACCTAATCAGCTTTCCTGGATAACTTACTAGTAATCCTGGATAACTTACTAGTAATCCTGGATAACTAATGCATAATCCTAAATATCTAATGGGTAACCCTGGATAACTAATGAGTAATCCTGGATAACTAACTAGTAATCCTGGATAACTATCAAGTAATCCTGGACACTAACAAATAATCCTGGAAAACTAACAAGTAATCCTGGATAACTAACAAGTAATCCTGGATAACTAACAAGTAATCCTGGATAACTAACAAGTAATCCTGGATAACTAACAAGTAATCCTGGATAACTAACAAGTAATCCTGGATAACTAACAAGCAATCCTGGATAACTAACAAGTAATCCTGGATAACTGGCAAGTAATCCTGGATAACTAACAAGTAATCCTGGATAACTAACAAGCAATCCTGGATAACTAACAAGTAATCCTGGATAACTGGCAAGTAATCCTGGATAACTATCAAGTAATCCTGGATAACTAACAAGTAATCCTGGATAACTAACAAGTAATCCTGGATAACTAACAAGTAATCCTGGATAACTAACAAGCAATCCTGGATAACTAACAAGTAATCCTGGATAACTGGCAAGTAATCCTGGATAACTAACAAGTAATCCTGGATAACTAACAAGCAATCCTGGATAACTAACAAGTAATCCTGGATAACTGGCAAGTAATCCTGGATAACTAACAAGTATTCCTGGATAACTAACAAGTAATCCTGGATAACTAACAAGCAATCCTGGATAACTAACAAGTAATCCTGGATAACTGGCAAGTAATCCTGGATAACTAACAAGCAATCTTGGATAACTAACAAGCAATCCTGGATAACTAATTAATAATCCTGGATAACTAACAAGCTATCCTGAATAATGAGTAATCCTTGATAACTAACAAGCAATCCTGGATAACTAACAAGTAATTATCAATTTCTTCGCAAGTGAATGACTACTTTATCCAACATGATTTCTAAATCAGCAGTGAGAGGGAAATGACTGTCAGACTTTGGGAGATCAAATGTAATGGAGGAATCAGTTAACACAGGATCTTATTTTCTTGACTTTGCTAAAGTAAAGTAAGTAAAGTTCCAAAATCAAAGTAGGGCAAATACATTTCACACACAAAATTGGCAGGTTTGTTTAACATTAAAAAAACATGAAATTCAGTTTTAAACAGTCGAGACCCTGGTCAAATTACTTCAAATGTTCACTGGTCTGTCACAGTACACATCTGACTTCTATAATGGTGGAACATGCCTGTCTGAATGTTCTTTCTCCACAAGACGGTAAGAGAATCACACCATTATAGGCAATGATATTATACCAGTTGGTAAGAACTAAATTTTGATCAATAGAGATATATAATAATGTTAAAGGAACTCCACTGAGGTACAAAAGCATAAAACCATGAAATTTGAATTTCTTATGTTTTCCGCTGGGGCACTTAAAATAGAAAGATTTGCAAAATATGATTAAGAAATATACCCATAAAGATACTGAAAATCCTATTTTTGTGTTATTATCGACCTGATTTGCAATTTTGCGTAATTTTTCACAATTAAGAATTATTCTTCGGGGAAAACAGACTGAGCGGATGATCTGAAATTTTGCACACAAGTTCTTGGTCAAGACCTTCATCAAATAGAACATAAATCTCGAAAAATTATTTCCTGTCCTGTCATGTCAAAAAAACCCTCACTTCTTTCTTGTCGTTTCCAAAACCTTCACACATTCAAAGAGAATTCAACACAATAGAATTTAACCCAAAGTGACAAAAAGTTTTAAAAGTTTTAATGCCAATAAATTCATCATCAATTATAAGCAAGATAAATAAAATCATGTCCAATAATTTCATCAGATTATAAACAAAATCAGCAATTAAATGTCACACATCGTTTTGTAAGCATTTAACCTTACTATAAAGTTTTGTTGTTTGTTTTTTTTTACAAAAGTATACACAGGTTAACTATATACATGTACAAGTCAAGTGTATTTAATAGTTTTGTAGTTTATTTTTAACTAAATTTGCAAAATTTACTATCAATAACAAAAGCCCATTAAACACCTCTATAGATCTACCTAAAAAGCTTAAATAAAACGCACACACGCAAAAAATTGCAACTAAAATCATACTTACAGAAAAACTAAATCACATCCATTTTAAACACTAGTATGATGATATTCATCATCAATTTCCATACATAAATTAAAAGAAGAATGTGATCGATTTCTAATAATATTAAACCATTGAGTAAAAAAAATAACAAAACAATATGTTTCTCATTGAACAAAAAAACTGCTTATTAATAAAGAAAAGGGAGCTAACTGTGCAAAAAGAATGTATAGTACCAAAAAATTATAAAACTAGGCCAAAGACAGGTAATTCTTGTAAAGTACCAATGATAACTTTTAATAGAGGGGAAGAAAGATGGAAGGATGTAACATCAACTTCACCAAATGCGTTAATAAATCAACAATTCAAATCTACAGAAGGGAATGTGTTGAAACATCACACGCTTGTTTTCTGCGATTATATAACGGGCACAGGTCCCTTAACCCTGAGTGACTTATTTTAATTTAATTAACAGTACCCTTTTACAGAGTTTGAATTATAAGCAGGTGCAATTGAAGTAGTTACTTATGTAAAATATATTGAAATTATAACCTTTAATAAGTGTGCTCAATTAATTTCGTATGTGTGTTTCAGTTTTTACTTCGTTCAGTTGTTTACTTTGTTTTTGAGATTCTGATATGTTGTTGTTGTGAAATTTTCTTCTTTCTTTTTATTTCAGGCCAAGCTTCTTGTTGATAATGCTTGTGAATTTCTTGGACTGGATAAATCAAAATTCAAAAGAAAAAGTTGAACATTCCACTGACCAAAATTGTGTGTGCTTTAATAAATTGTCTTTCATATATTATGGTGATAGTCAGTTATCTTGCCAGTGTTTTTATATATAAATATGTTCGTTGTATACTATGTTGGTATGGTGCTTATCTTTTTGTAAATACAGACAAATTGTGTTAAAGACCACCTCTGAATAAGAATAATCCTGCAAAAAAAAACTGTAAATATAGGCCACTTTTCGATAACCCTTCATTTATATATTTGATTACCCCTTCATTTATATATTTGATAACCCTTAATTCATTTATAAAATGGAGTAAAGTAACCTCCAAATAAATATCACTTGTCTGTAAAGACTATTATTTTTATCTCCCTAGGTGGCCTTATTTCACAGGTTTTACTGTATATGAAGGGTGCTAGTCTGCTCAATCACTCAAACATTTTGTTAATTTGTTTTATTACTACAATTATAACTTTTTTTATCTCCTGATTGACATTTCTGTTACATTGCTTAAAAAAGGTTTTAGTTTTTTCTTAATTCAAATCTATAAATTCAAAGCTATAAATCTATAAGAAACATATTTATTATAATTGATTTTTGTCACAAATTTTGTCAAGTTTTACACAAGATGAGCAAGTTGTCTCCTCTGGCAGCTCTTGATTGTACTGTTCAATAACATTCTTTGATACGAAAACATATTAGCGAGTGTTAACAAGGGAGGTAATGCATCATCTGTGAAGTTGTCTCCCTTACAACCTATACGGTTATGGTTTTCATGTATAAAATAGACATAAATTAATAAATGTATGTGTACATGTAACAGGAGAAAACAATTTGTGTCTTTTTATTTATTTCCATTAAATCAATTATTCATGCTTTAAATATAGTGGTATTTGCATTTAACTTCATTTAGTCCAAGCTTGAAAATATTTTTAGTTGCCCACCTGTGAGCCATGCCAATTTGGGTATGGTTGGTTTGATCATTTTTCATTTTTGTTTAAAATATTTTTTAGCTTAACCCAGTTAATCTGAGTTTAATGACCCATTGCACCCTGGCCACCAGAGAAACATACATAGACTATAGATTGCAATGGGGTTTATTGGCAAATAAAATATTATTTAAGAAAAAAAAACAAAAAAAACTTAGATTATAAATTTGGTTTTTAAAATGTTGCCATGTTAACCATATCTATAGACATAGCAACTAAATAATCAAAGTGCAGATTATCTAAATCAATGGTGCCTGATGTCTAACACACACAACCCCCTACCCTACCCCTTGAATATATATAATAAACAAATTAATAATGTTTATTATAGATATGGTACGAAGGGGATATTGGACATTGGGACAACTGTAGTCTAACTTATTTTTTACTGCAGAAAAATGGTCAAAAAACTTAAACACTTTATTGGCCACGAATTCATGGAAATTATACAAATTTTTTTTAAACAAATCAACAAGAAAAGTTTGTCCATTTATTTTGAATACAAGAAAATGATTAGAACATGAGAACGTTTTCATGAATAATAATAATTATGAAAATATACAAGGTAATAAAAACATATAATCACTAAAATTGAATTTAATCTTTGGCTATATAAACAAACAAACAAAAAGGGTCATACAATACTACTCATGACACTCGCAATAACGAGTTAAGTCTTTCTAAATTGTTATAGGAGTTAACCAGTTATTGCACTAATGACACTTCATACTTTTAGTAGCAAGCAAATACTTATACAGCCAAACAATGGAGCAAAAAAATAACCCTATCAAAATAACAGTTCAGTCTAGTATATGCTTCAAATTTGCTTTAAACACCCTCCCTTTATAACGCTGCAAAAATGACATAGCTGCCATTTATGAAAAGGGTAGAAAAAAAATGACGAAGAACTTTATGTTTCAACTAGAATTCATACTTATTGATTTTCGAAGCATAAAAAGTGTTATTCAATGACTTTATATTAGGTGGAAACCTTATCAAAGTTTGTGGGGGCCTTTTTTATCATTTTAAAACAGAAATTAATTGTGAAGCTTCAATTCTTTACAAGAAAAGAAATGGTGTTATCATCTATCTAAGTATAGGTGGGAACAGTTTCATAAATTTTGATTACACATTAAATTTTGTTATTCATTAAAAGAATTAGAATTTGGCAAGACTGCCTCAACATTTAAAAAGGTTAGGCAAGGTCAGACTCCTCCAACATTTAATCAGGCTAGACAGGGTCAGACTGCCCGAACATTCATACAGGCATGGCTTGTACTTGGCAAAAGAAAAGCGTAATTTTCTGCTTTTGGAGGTGGCAAACTAAGAGTACAACCTTCACTTCCAAAATCAAATCTGCTACAAAAATATCAACACAGAATCTACAAACATGCAAAACAAATGTTACAAATCATAGAAAATCATTTGCAAGTCAACTAATATACTCTTCAAATCACACCTCAAGCACTTCAAGAAAACAAAATGAAACAAAAACAACTTCAACCAAGCATCCATAAAAATCATACAGTTTCACTTTCATCAAATAAATTCCGAGTTCAGAACTTTTAAAGATATATTTCAGATTATTGATGTAATTAACTTTTACCTATACATTGACTTCTCCCCCCCACCCCCCAAAAAAAAAATGGAGTAAAGAATTTATATAAACTATAAGGGGATCAACTTTTCATGTTTTTACTGCACTACTGCTTTTAGCAATCATTTAGCAGGTACAAATGGAGTTGATTCAGTAAGGGGAATAACTTTTACCGGTTTTAACAAGGAATTTATATCAAATTCAACTTTCTTTTTAATCAAAACTGATTCATTTAATGGATTTGTCAAATTAAACATGGTGATGGCGATCATGCATTGTCATGTGTTTCTCTTTCTGTTTTTATGTCGGTTTTAACACATATTTTGTTATTTCTCAGTAGTCGATACACCAAACCAGCTTTTCTGGATAACTTATGAGTAATCCTGGGTAACTAACAAGCAATCTTGGATAACTAACAAGCAATCCTGGATAACTAGCAAGCAATCCTGGATAACTAACAAGTAACTGGATTACTTACAAGTAATTATCAATTTCTTTGCAAGTGAATGACTACTTTATCCAACATGATTTCTGAATCTAGCCTGAGTTCCAGTCAGTTGATTTTTTATGTGCATCTGTTCGGCAAATCGATACTATCAAAACCTGAGAGATGTTGTGTTATCTATGACGATCGAGTATGAAATAGCGTGTATGTTATGAATAAGCAAAAATATCAATGCCTGAATCCCAGGCTATTCTAAATCAGCAGTGAGAGCCAAATGACTGTAAGACTTTGGGAGATCAAATGTAATGGAGGAATCAGTTAACACAGGATCTTATTTTCTTGACTTTTCTAAAGTAAGTAAAGTTCCAAAATCAAAGTAGGGCAAATACATTTCACACACAAAATTGGCAGGTTTGTTTAACATTAAAAAAACATGAAATTCAGTTTTAAACAGTAAGAGACCCTGGTCAAATTACATCAAGTGTACACTTGTCTGTCACAGTACACATCTTAACTTCTATAATGGTGGAACATGCCAGTCTGAATGTTCTTTCTCCACAAGTAGGTAACAGAATCACACCATCATACACAATGAATGCCAGTTGGTAAGAACTTGATTTAGATCAATAGAGATATATAATAATGTTAAAGGAACTCCACTGAGGTACAAAAGCATAAAACCATGAAATTTGAATTTCTTATGTTTTCCGCTGGGGCACTTAAAATAGAAAGATTTGCAAAATATGATTAAGAAATATACCCATAAAGATACTGAAAATCCTACTTTTGTGTTATTCTCGACCTGATTTTGCAATTTTGAGTAATTTTTCACAATTAAGAATTATTCTTCGGGGAAAACAGACTGAGCGGATGATCTGAAATTTTGCACACAAATTATTGGTCTAGACCTTCATCAAATATTGAACATAAATCTCGAAAAATTATTTCCTGTCCTGTCATGCCTGGGGTCCTTTTAATGTTTCATTTTCACAACTTCTTTCTTGTTGTTTCCAAAACCTTCACACATTCAAAGAGAATTCAACACAATAGAATTTAACCCAAAGTGACAAAAAGTTTTAAAAGTTTTAATGCCAATAAATTCATCGTCAATTATAAGCAAGATAAATAAAATCATGTCCGATAATTTCATCAGATTATAAACAAAATCAGCAATTAAATGTCACACATCATTTTGTAAGCATTTAACCTTACTGTAAAGTTTTGTTGTTGTTTTTTTTTACAAAAGTATACACAGGTTAACTATATACATGTACAAGTCAAGTGTATTCAATAGTTTTGTAGTTCATTTTTAACTAAATTTGCAAAATTTACTCACTATCAATAACAAAAGCCCAAAACAGCTCTATAGGTCTACCTAAAAAGCTCAAATAAAACGCACACACAAATAAAATTGCAACTAAAATCAAAATGACATTACAGGAAAGCCGTATTCATTTTTAACACTTGTATAATGATATTCATTACCAATTGCCATACATTAATTACAATTATAATGTGATCAATTTTTGATATTATTTAATAAACAAGAGCTGTCCGTAAGACAGCGCGCTCGACTTTTTTATTGCTTGTCAATAAAAAAAGTTTTTGCAGTAAAAGGCAATACAAGAATCTCTGTATTTTTAAAGTGAACAATGGCCATGAGCATTAAGATATTTAGTGAAGAATTATTTTACTGAATTGTGTGATACCCTTGAACACTGCAGCAAAGTTTGAAATGTTTAAGTCAAAAGAGGGCTGGTAAGAAAGAAAAAAAAACTGAGTTGAGCCTTAAATAAATTTAATAGTATTAAACCCACTTTGAGAGAATAAGGTATTTTTACGTCACTCAGAACACCTTGGTAAATGACATAATAACATAATTTTTCAAGAAATCTATGCCAAGGAAGCAGTATATTTTTGTACAATCAGCATAATATATAGATTTGACTTTGTATGTGAAAGTATTATAGTTACCTTATAATACAAGTAATAGATAAATTTTATCAAGCTTTTTTAGATGTTGTCAGTTGGTCACAAGTGGATCTCTTTCACACAGGCTGTGGGTGACTAGTTGTTTGATACCCTTGAATATTACAGCAATGTTTATATGACATAATTTATGGTAAAGTGAACAAGTGGATAGGAATGAATTTTTTTAGATTTTTTAAGTTTTTTAGTGCTTGCCTATAATACAAAACATTGACAGTTAAGGGCCATAATTCAAATAAAATCTTTGACAGAATTACCTTCTCCTGGACATGTTTGGGAATCATGATTGTAAACAAGTATTCCAACTTTCAAATTAATATCTCAAACAGTTCAGTCAAAAAGTGGACTGGTACTAAAAACTTAACCAAGATTCTAAGTCGATAAAAGGCCTTAATTTTTAAAACAAATCCTTGACAGAGTTAC